CYAMYMAAKRATGAAGCTTTGCCACTTAATAGCGGGTTAGCAATCGTAATGTAATGTGATCATTTCGAAGTCGAGTTTACCAGTGCATGACAAGATCAAGTATGGCGGGACTAAAAACATGACTGAAACAGTGAACAGAAGAACGTGTTGAAGCTATTATTTYGATCTTCATCAAAAATTCTTCGACTGGCATGCGGTATTAAAACTTGGAATACTTGCAACATTTTAGAGATATCAACATTGAACCGGCAGTAGATTTGTTTAAGCAAATGGAAGTTATGAAAATAAAGTAAAAAATCTGTGAAAGTAAATTAGATGCGAGAAAAGTACAGTCTACTGATGCAAATTCGTATTACATACATTTAGGAGCGAAAATGTCAGATTATAGGTGTAGATTATTTATGATATACGTGTTAGCAGGATGAAAGAGGAAAAATAAGCATATACTTATAAGGTAAATAAAAAAAATATATAAAATTAATAAAAAAATAAATAAATATAAAAAATATTAAATCAAATAAATTAGTCAATAAAATAAATGTTATTTGTGGCGTCATCGTTTCAACTCCGAATTAATTTTACATTCGAAATATTCGATTCTGTATAACCTCAAAGAGTCTAAAGTGTTCTTTCAACAGTTGTAGCTTAAAAAGGCTACCTTTAATTATGTTTAAACAAGTAAAACATTATTAAGAAGAGAATAACAAACTATTTGGTACWAAATAGCAGTGATCGGGAGAAAGAAAACAATTTGAGTTTCTGCTTGGAATTCAAAAATCGAAAAAGTTCCAAAAAATTTTGCGGCGAACTTATAAGTAATTAAATTTTAAATACGATTTAAATACTACTTGTAATTAAGTAACACTAAACTACTTTCATTATGAGCTACTACTAACTACTAGTGTTATTGTAATTAGATATATGTAAGTATATACATACATAAGTAAATCTAACCTTGCGCGGCAGCCTCCACCAATATATGTATCTCTATTGCTTTTATCATTTCACTTATTATAATATTAAAATTTCACTTWTTTGCTGTTTGGAGTACATTTGGGAACCGCTGACTACAATTATTCACTTTTCGTTATGGCAACGCCACCGGCACCGTTGTTCGTGCACTTTGGCGGCGTGTCCTGGCGATGAAGTGTGGGCGTGTGTGTCGGCGTTATCGGCGGCGAAAGTTGTTGCTGCTGCTGCTGTTGTTGTTGCAGATGCAGTGCAGCCGCCTGCGATAGTTGTTGTTGCTGTTGCTGCTGGTGATGATGATACGCCGCGTTCTGCGCATCGAGCAGCGTCAAACTGGCAATGCTGTGATGATTGTTGGCAGCCGCCGCCGCCGCTGCTGCGGCAGCCGATAGGCCGTTCATAGTGCTCGCCGTCATATCCTGAGCCGACTCGCTTTTCAGTCGCACACCATTATTATTGTTATTGTTATTAYTGTGATTGTTGTTATTATTTGCGACAGCGGCGGCTGCGGCAGCGTGCGCGTTGCTCAACGCAGCGGCGGAGTGATGATGGAACGAGAGCGGTGGCAAATGYAGCCCCGGAAATGCCAGGCCAGCTGCGGCGGCGGCGTGTAGTGATTGCAGCAGCGCRGCCGAGTGTTCTTGCGCCTTGCGACGCAACTCAGCTACAGAGCTGGAACGTGCATCGTGATTGTTATGCGCCGACTGGCTAAGGACCGAAGTGACATGAGGCGGCGAGTCGGGTGAGCTGCTGGCGGAGGGCGCAGCAGAAGAAATGGGCACACCGGACGCGGAGCTGGAAGTGGCAGCAGCAGCTGCGGCGGCTGCAGCAGCGGCAGCAGCTACCGACGAGGCGCTAGGCGGTGGCGGCGGCGGTTTCAGCGAGCAGCACGAGCAGAGACCCGGAAACGGTGAGACGCCTGAAAGGGTAAGATACGAATAGGTTAAATGTTGTTGWAGAAAATTTTCGAAAGACAAAATGTATAAATCGGATTCTTTCGATAAGTATTCAATAAGGAAGGGGAAGGCATTATAATTCTTTCCTCCTAACAAGCTGTTAATAAAAATTGGTAWAAGCCAGGATGAGGRAATGCTCCTGTGGTCCATACTAATTGATGCCCTTTATGACCTTTACAAAGATCCGTTTCCAGGACAGTTGGGTCTAAGTAACTGGAACAGACTCGTATTTTTATCCKCCAATTACTGTAAACTCGGCACCATTCCTCGAAATTAATTTAGGAATATTTTCTAGCACTACAAAAACCTTTTAAGAATTAAGAGGAAACCCTGTGATATCGGGTTTCAATACAGTTATTTAAGACACGAATCATCTTGAGATCCTTGATTCAATATARAAAACGCTTTACGCCTGCTCCACAGATCCGTTAATGGTCCTTGGAGATGTTCCCTAATTTTGACAAGACATCCGTCGACGCTCTCAATGGCAGGGTTAGGTTATGCCTATGAAACAAAATAAGCTAGGCATCTCCTATAAAAACATTCTGTTTATAGAAGCTAGTTACCGACGTCCGAAGAACATACTTATATTAGAAATAKGATCCGAGCTGCAGTCTTACTTGAAGCTGTGCCACTTTTCCTCTCCAATGGCAGAGCATTAATGCTACGTTTCTAGTATGAAATTCCAAATCATAGCCAAATTGMTGATTTCCATCTAAAATTCAATTAAGCTAATAGACCACTCACTACTTTCTCGCTTAACAAATACTTAAGCCTTGCTGATGGATTTTATGAAGTGCCCAGCTAGTGGTAGGGGAAAACAGTGTATCGGCATGTCATCGATTGCGACGGAGCTGATTGACAGCGAAACAGATTGAAATCCAGCAGCGCAACGCGAGGACTATGTCGCCGGCATTGAGATGACGAGCTACCACACTACCCATCATTATGTAATTATATTAYAGCAACAATCGATAAGTTTGATAGCAAGAGGCTTTCAAGCAAAGCGCCAGCATGGTGCTTTTACTTATTGATGGGCGTTTTTGATTTATAATACGCAAGCAGAGAATTCACTGGAGTTCACTACRGAGTGATGTAGTGTTTGGTGTTATGTCGGAGTGATGAGTGGTGTGGTGGGTTAAGTWAATAAATATTTTATGCAACATTATTTTCCATTCATACACAGGCACTATAATAATCGCATTTACCTTTTAGTCCGGGAAAGAGTGGTTGATGTGTAAACTGTGAGCTCAGCGAAGCCAAATGCGGCGGCAGAAAGATTGGTGGATGCGCGGTGGTGGTGTTGCGTTGTGCACCAGCACCAGMAGCGACCACGCTGCCGGAGTTGTCGTTGAGCACCGGACGAAAGCCGCAATTGCTGAAAGGAAAAAAATAAAATAAAATAATGACATAGGAAAGAGAGAAGACAAGATTAAAAAGTATGCTCATACATACATACAAATATTTATGATTGCATTGGATGGGGGGGGAATCTCACATACATAAGTATATGTCAAATCAGAAGTGTTGAAAATGTAATTGCTATGAAGTGTGGAGTTGTTTAACAAATTAAAGTCTTTAATTGATAGATATTCAATTAAGTTAGGCAATTAAGTGTGGTTATGATTGATGAAATTTCAATGATTTAAAAAAAAGAACTCTTTGACTTTCTCTTTGAATGAGAGAATGCTCAATGAGAAAGAAGAGCAGACCTACAAAGGGGAAAATAGTAAAATATTCAAACAAGAGGAAAATAAATATTCCTGGAAAGGACGCAAAATGTGTTATGTGAAACTACCAGCTCTKGAGAGACCTAAACTTCGCTATTTCGACATTATCTAGGACGACTATGTAGTATAAAGAGAAAAATTTAACTTTTAAATGTATGAGTTAAGTATCTGGAACCCTGAAGTTGTTGGTTTAGACTTCAACTGAAAATAAACCTTTCTAATATCTCTACATTCTTCACTGACTCACCCACATTTGCGAGATGAATGCTGAAACTCGTTGGTTTCCAAACCATAAGTCATTTGAATAAACTCGTGGAAATAGAGTTAATTTAACAAATTGGTGATGTATTCAAAATCACTTATCCTTAGCAGTTCAAGTGTGATTCCTAACTGGATGATCAGTCTTAGAAGTTAAATAGAAAAAAATATTTTCCAAACTAACACTGAACGATCCTAGCCTATTTACTATAACTTTCAAACTGCGCCTAGTCATAATCTAGACGAAGACCTGCCGTGAATCTGGAACTCATTCCACTCTAATCTCATTATTGACGTCATCAGGACCTGGAAAGAACCTGTCTCTTATACACATCCTGCCGTGAATCTGGAACTCATTCCACTCTAATCTCATTATTGACGTCATCAGGACCTGGAAAGAACAGGGTACTAATAGCTCAGTAACAGAGCTTTTCGGAATGACTGTTGCGCTCTTTCCTACAGACGACAATAAAAAGGGACAAAAAATCATAAAATTCCTCTATGGAGGTTCTCTCTCAAGRACTGCACCAAGTACCTGGGGTAGTCTTAGACAGCAAAYTTCTGTGGAAGCACAACGTAAWAGAAAGAGTGAGGAAAGCTAGCAATGCTTTATATGTACGTAGACAAATGCTAGGCACAAGCTGGGGGCTCTCCCCCTCTCTCATGCACTGTTACTTTACAGCTTTTGTAAGACCAATTCTACTCTACGGTGCAGTAGTATGTACGGGCAAATGTACGGAAATTCCTCTACCGGGAGTCAAGGSAAAGGGTTCGGAGGCTCGCTGTGTTGTGCATATCAGGAGCTCAATCGAGTTTATTTTGAGAACAGCTTCAAAATATCTTCAATATTAAAAATGACTGGGAAAACACCTATCTCAATAAGGCATTAAGAAGAAGCGACCTGTGAAGATATTCAGACGGCTTGAAAAAGTATATTTGAAAGTGTAGACATATACTATTTGAGAGTTCGAAATCGTAAAATGAAGAAATCAGGCTATAGGAATGATGTATCTACTAAACAAGCATGTCCATGTCTGCCAGTCTTTGCGCCCTAATTCGCCTAAGCCAAGGGGAGAGTGCAGCAGAGACCACAATTTGCGATACAATCCTCAGTAGTAATTTAATGCAAAGGTCTACCAGTATATAAAATATGATTTGCATCCTTAATAATCACCTMATTAGACCTTATCATTCTAGTTTCAGTACCGGTGAAGCAATTTCTAATCAGGATTTTGAAATGACAGCGAAACAGATTCTTATTTTATAAGAAACGAAACAATAACCAATTTTATTAATGACACGAACTCTTTAAGGGCTTCTGATATAACCATTTTTTCTTCGAGGAATTTCTCCATTAACACCAGAAGAAGTAAGTACAGTGTTTTCCTTGTTTTTTTTTTTTTTTGCATTTTTTGTTCCCTTATACCCTTAGAATTAATGTAGAAACCTACTTTGCTATTGGAAGGTTTCGAAAAAGGCCCAAAAGTAATAATACCGCTCGACTTTCAGAGCGCTCGGAGTGCTTTTGAGGTACTGCCATCAAAAGCGTTTTTCACAAAACACACTTTTCAAACTGGCGGATACAATGTTATGGCAAAATTTATGTAAAAAACATGGGGGAAAAATTTAAAAAAAAAAAAACTTAAATACTTTTTTATTTATCAACCATTGTTCATGATTCTAGTCTAGRGACGATAAGCATTCACGTACTTTTTAAGAATAAATTGGGTTTTGGAGTTTCAGATGATCGAAACATGAGAAATCGTGTCCGCCAGTGAAAAGACGCATCTCATTCACCCAGCCATTTCTCCGAAAGATGTCATCAAAAAATTCCGAAGAAATTTATTTATACACTATATACCTCATGATACGTGAAAAAAGTTTCATTGTAGCATAAAAAGGTCTATGAAAAAAATATCAAAAAAAACAGGCCAAATTACCCTACAGACCCCTTAAAGGGCCCATATGCACTACTTCGATAACCACGAAAGCATACGACAATAACTCAAAATTTCATTGCACAATTTTATGAGATTGTGACTTTGTAAGCCTCCTACAACATTCCATTTACTCAAATCACCACTAAATTTCTATTCTCACTGACTCAGAATTAGCACTAGATTCGCGATTATAATCTGATTCAGCAATTTCTCTGCGTGCGTTCGCTTAATTAACGCAATTTGGCTACTTGTAGATATGTAAATATGTATTTAATGTAGAATTGGAAGATATGCAAATGAGCGCCTCAACAGCGCCAGCAGCTAATAAAAAAGCGAATTAAACACCAGAAATTGTGAATATTTTGACTTTTGCGGGAGGAGGGTGCAATTTCGTTATCATTAATTCAAATTTCTGCGCCTTCATTGCTAGATACTGACGACTACCAATKGTGTGTGGAATGTTATACACTATTCAATTAAATTTAAATTACATTAACAATAATAAATACAAAGTATATCGCGTGTTATTGCGCGACGCTCGCCGTTCACAAGCCAATTGTTTGAAAAGAAAGCGAGCGCAAGGCACAAAGCAGAGCAAAGCAGAGCAGAAGAAAAGTGAATAGTAATAGTTCGGATGATAAGTGAATGAATTGGAGGCTGAATCGTCGATATCCATGTCATTTAATTAAACGTTTAAGTCTATTATACGCACACAAACAAATAGACAATATAATAGTTGTCAAAGCCTAGATTCTGGTGGCAGCAACATGATGTCATGGACAATGCGCAGCGGTCGAGAATCCATCAGTCTCTAGCTGTATTTGAATTAATTCATATTTTGTAACTACATTGCATAAACATACATACATATGTACATACACACATACAAATGTATTTATATGCGCTTAATAAATGGGTGGTTTGTGTGTCCCAACTCTAGCTCGGGTGTCGCACGCTCGTCCACTCAACCCGTTTTCACTTATCTTGTTTTCGAATTTGTTTTCGCTTTTTTTCCTACGGTTTGTCTGTGTGTGTATTGTATAATATTCATGAGCATATAAATTGGAGTAGTAACAGTAATAATAATGCAATTATACAAAAAAATTGTTTTAATTGATTTCAATTAAGCGTTAATTGAAAGCGTCAGCCAAATGAATTGAACCCTCAGCATAAAAGCATACAAAATAGCTGCGTATTTATACTACATATGTATAAGTATATGTATGTACAAATAAATATGTAAATGTATGTATGAATATTAAAGCACTTTTAACAATATATAATATAAATATATATGTATATTCATTTATTTAATTGTATCTAATATATATTAATACATTTC